TGGCCTCTCGGGGGGACTTGCCTGGGCAATAGGATGTGTTTTGCGAGCACTATTCAGTGCCGAGGAAATGCCTCTTTGGATGTATCCATCTGGGGCTGATGCTGGCTCAGGATCAGGTGATGGCGCGGGAGGAAGGGGCTTTAGGTGGACCGATTTATTTGGAAATAGTTCCACTGGTAATTCCGAGACCGGCGGAAACTCAGTGAGCTCTTCCGAGCCGAGCATAAATCAACCAGCGCCCCACTCCCCAGAGCCTGTTGCTTCTGAGGTTGATCGAGGTAGGCCCCTCATTCCTGAGGATGAGAATGACAACCACTTGATGCCTGCTCAAGCGCGTATGGAAGAGTTGGCCCATCGCCTCTCAATCAATTCCATTCAGAAAAACTTGAGCCGCGAGGAATGGGGAAGCATTATTACTGCACAGATTGTGGTGGAGGAAAGCATCGAAGCCGCTTTAGTTGACGATGGCTATCCCGCCGCTGCTATTTTGGCCAAACGTCACCAGATACGGGGCTTTATGTTTTATCCAGGAGGGACTTCTTTGACCGAGAAAACATATGTAGGCTATGTGAGAAGTATCGACAACTTGGGTACTCACGCCTCTGTTCCATACAAGCGAGTCATCCAAGCGATACGGCAACATAATTTATCCCTTTAAGGGGCCCTTATACTACTAACGGCCGCACTGTTCCGCTTTCTTGTTTTGTTCCATTCTAGAAAAACAGAGGTAGACATAACTACTAGGGCTTGATTCCGTTACTTAAGTGAAAGCGGATATGTAGGCAAGTACAATACTATACTCAGTTGTACCCCAGCCCCACAGGTGTATAAGCATGAAGTGAAGATGAAGTAAGCATGTCCGCAAAGACTACTCGCTCGCGGTATACTTTTCTAGCTTGATTGCTGGCTCTAAGCCTACCTCCTTGCTACACGATTAGTCAAGCTAAAAAAGATGAATTCTCCGAAAGGGACCTATCTTAGTTTAATTATGTCCATCGATCGAAAAAATGCAGGACATAAGAGTAACGTGTGTTCCAGAGTGTCAACTTAACAATTACAATACAAAAGGGTGGAACGTTGATACCCCTAAAGTATAGAGAGGGCGGTGAAGCTTTGGTAGAAAGGTAAGATAAAGCCGCTTCCTAAGTCACTCAGGTATGGCTTTGGTTAAGTAAATTGACTCCATCTTCATCAATAGCCGACGGTAGGCATAATCTGCGTGATTAAAGTCTTTCGTGCATCACCTCAGTGATGCTCTTCGCAAGATCTTTTTAAAAAGTTACTAGAACTATTTCCTTATATTATTAAAGGGTCTCGTTCTGCCGTTTTTCAAGGTGTAAAAAGTCTTATCTAGCTAGATCCTAAGATATCGATCCACGGCTTAGTAATCCGCAGACACTTCATACGAAGCCGAATCCTGCTGAATCAGGAGAATCCACTGATCCAGGTAGGTGAGGGAATTCAGAAGACCGGTTTACTAAGCTTTTTCAGCAGGACAAAAAAGTGGAATCGACTTCTATTTATGCCTTTTTTTCTTGCATCGTTCAGAGCGCCAGCCAAATGCATGACCCAGTGGTGGTCTTCTTCTACCTCAGTGATGTACATCATGTGCTCATCTATCAGGGAATTCTTCTCGAATAAAACCACGAATCACCAGAACAGAGATGGAAGAGTTCCGTTCCCGACGATTCCAATCTTTAATAATCTTATGTCGAACTGAGATCCAGTGAGATTGACAACAGAGAAACCTTTTCTAGGCAGGATTATTTTTCATGAATAAAGAAGAAAAGTTCTCACCTATCTCAAAAGGCGTTAAATGCTGCTTTGAAGGTCGATGGGGACTTTCCCACGGCTCGTTCTCGGATTTACCCTTGTTCGGATAAATCTGCCATAGTATCAGAGCTGAGATAATGGACTGCTTTCCTCTGAGACTATGTGGTATCAGAGCGATTCGAGATCAATCAGAGGTGTGCCTGTGAGTGTGGGAGACTCGTTAAAAGAAACTCTTAAAGATGCTTGCTTCGTCAGTGTCAGACTGACGAGTTGGCCGTAGAGGATGCGGCCTGTCAGGAAGATCGGCTTTGGTGCCTATTATAAAAATCAAAATCAAACTTCCCTCGGGCAGCTATCTTTCTTAGTGCTACCCTATGGTCCACCACGTGATGAATCATGAGGGCGAGTTACCAGCGACCGTATGGTTTGTGGTACTCCTTGGATAAGTTTGGAACTGGGACCTGCACGAGGAGCCCAGGGGTTATGAGCCACTCCCGACACCTCCATTAGGAAGAAGAGGTCTTGCAGCAGCGGTAGCATATGTCAGAGGTTTGGAAGAAAGTATGAACGGGCTTTGCCCCCCTATTGGGGAACCTTCTCATCCCGATTCTGCCTTTGGAGCTATCTGAAAAGGTCATTTTCAAGTTTAGTTTTCTTACTGATTCGGCTCGCTACCTATAGAGCTTGGTGTCTTGATAGAGCAGCATCGTTACCAGATTGTTTTATATAAGGGGAATTGGCTTGAAGAGAAAGAAAGGCAGCCGGCTCGTAAACTCGTCTCTATAATATAAAAGGGCAAAGAAGAAGAGGGAAAGAGTGTAATGGGGACAATCTAAGGAAGAAACTAGAGCTCTGGAAGATAAAGAAAGAACGAAAGGAAAATGGAGTACTTGCCTTGGTTGTCGGAAGGAAAGTCCTGTCCAGTCTTGAACTAATCAACTACTCTACTCAACTCAGCAAGCAAAATACAAAGAAATCAAGTAAACAAACCCTATAGTAAATACAGTACATTCCAAAAAGGCTAAAGCCCTCTAACCGAGAAGTCAGTGCCGAAGTATTTAAGTTCCAACCGAAGTAAGAAGACCTCGAGGCGGGGAAGAGGAGTGAAAGCCACTCGCCCTACTCATACAAGTCAAGGAGAGGAGCGATGTAATTGAGCTCGTATTTCTATATAAATATCAGCTTAACCGGGAAAATGCAGAATCATCATAGGTAAGAAGCACAACACCATGTTCCCTCTTTCCTGTCGCAACTAGTCCCGTGAGCTAGGTCCACGGTTGCTACTTCTCTCGTCTCTGGAAAAGGGAAAAAAACGATTCTATATGGTCAGTCACTTCGGGCTACTTTTTGGGGAGATAGCATGGGGCTTATGAATGGAAGGAAATCCCCTCTCCAAGTGTGTGACTCTTTAGGGGAAAATCCCGTCCTGTGGTCCTGAACAAACGTTCCATCCTGAAAAGAAAGCTCATCTCTTACTGGGAACGAGAGATCTAATACAACAAACAACAAAGACCTGAACTAGCAGCTCGCTCAATGCGCATTGAAAGCCATTATAATGAATGCCCTTTTTTAGCATCTTTGAATTGAACTTAGCCCTCTTCCTATCCTAAACCCCTAGAATCATAAGAAACAATTGATGGTTGATCCGGCAATTCTATTAAGTAATTAGTTAGTCTATCAAGCTGAAACTAGGACTTAGGAAGACTCAGGGAGGGCACCCCTTTTAGGGTACTCCATCGAATGGACCTATCCTCTACTCTTGGAAGTCTGGTTTGCGAGCTTGACTCCTGTTACTTGCCCGAATAGAGAAAAGCGTATTAGATAAAGTAGGTTTTTTCGCAGATAGAAGGAGGGCTATTCCCGCACCGAATCAGTACCAAAAAAAGAATGAATAAAAAAAGTATTATAATTTCGCTCTTTATCCTTAGGAAGGTGAGGAACTACTAAAGGAGACATCTTTTAAGGCTTGTTGAAAGAACAGGTATTCCTACAGGTTTTGTTTTCACGGCTAGCGAAAAGGGAAAAAAACCCACATGGAAGGACTTAGCAATAGCAAAAAAGATGCTAAATAAAGAAAACGAAATATCTAGTTTCTCAAAGCATGCTGACTTGAACTTGCTTTCTCATACGAGAACAAAGCACTTTCACCGGCTGTTAGCTTTCCTTTCTCACTTATGATTCGGGGGAGCACTACAAAAAATGTAAGGCTGGCAATTGCCACTATAACTAAACTGGCTTTAACAGCTGAAGTCCCAAGAATCTTTCCCCTGGCTTTCCTTGTTAGCCTAAGATCCATCCTTTAAAAAGCGATTGCTGTTACGGGACTTTTAAATAGGTCACTTACTTTTGGTGTAAGAGACAGAGACAGGGGCTTAAGCTGGCTTAGACAGATAAACCCGCTGGTTCCTCTCAAGCTAAGATGCCTTCAATTCATACCCGGGTTTACTTTCAGCTCTGGTCTCATCAGTATTATAGACCGAAGGTTGTTGTCTTAGAAAGGATGCAACTAAGCCGCTTGAGAAAGTAGATAGAGAGAAGGGAGTGTTGATCCGGCAGTTTCAACACAGGTTCCTCTGTTATGGCTCGCTTGAGCCCAACTGGTTCGCATGGACACGCAACTGGAAATAGGATATGCTTCTTAACTGGTCTTGTTCAAAGTGAAACTATTTCAAGATCTTTTCAATCAGTTTTTTGATTCGTGTAAGATTCTTGGTACAGTTTTCCTGCTTGCTAATCAATAAAAACCAAGAGTTGTAATAAGGTGGTAAAGAAGGTCAGAACTGCCGGGTTCCCTGTAGGAAAGGGCGTAACCCCACTCTAAAAGTAGTTCGGTTCCCGGTTGAAAAAGCTCTTCACAATAGGAGCAAAAATAAGAATTGTCAAGGTTGTCGGCATATCTGCACCCGGCTCAGCTCAAGGTGCAATCCAAGCAAAGTTAGAAGAGCAGGCGAAAGCAAGGTGCGAAGCACTAGTGACATCCTCAAGGCAACGAGTTATGAGCTCCTAACGGGTAGGAAAACAGAGAATAGAAGAAGCTGCAATTGCTCCTGTTGAATGAGTTTCAGTTGGAAGAGGGGGCATTAGCGGTTTAGGAATCGATCTAGCTGCTTCTCCTAGAGATGGAGATGCGGCATAACCGTATGAACCGTACTCGTCTGCTTCCTAGGTACCTTCCATCGTTGACCTCTATACCTCTTCAGGGTATTGGCTTCGATTCTGGCAGAAGCGGGATGGCACACGACCTTTTATGTTAGGTTAGGGTCCAAGGGAACGACCATACCGAGGGATAGATACTTGGAAAACCAATAGAAAGGTGCGAGACTATATCCACATCGATTCAAATCATTAAGTGTTAGTTTTGATGACAAAACTCTTACCTGGCGTGTCGAAAAGGTGAGGGTGCTCCTCCCGCATCTTCTCCTCAAGTTCCCATGTAGCTTCGCGCTCGGAATGATTCCTACACGACGTATGGAATTGTGCGCGTCCTTAGTACCTGATCCTTTCTGTCAACAATCTTCTCCGGGCGTTCTTCATAAGTTAATTTATTATCTACAACCATATCCTCTATCAACCAGATATGCTCTGGCGACGGTACGTATTTCCTCAGCATGGATACGTGGAATACTTTGTGAACTCAGGAGAGCGCAGGAGGTAGTGCCAAAAGGTATGCCACATCGCCTATCGCTTACTTGCGTTCAATGAATGAAGTTTGCTCTTTCGAAAATCGATTAGATAGCAATGTTACTCTGAGTTCCTGCTTCACTACAGGGGAAAGGGAAAGAAACGAAAAAAAATTAGTTAAGCAAAGCCCATGGCCTACCCCTCCTACTCTTCCATACCAGTGAAATAAGTTATTCTTTCGAATAGGCCTAACCCTTGGGGAGAGGGTTATGTTATTGGGTTATAAAGAGGGACTCCCACCTCACTCAACCATAAGGAGACATTTAGAATAGTGATTGATTATGAAGACTTTTACTAGCAAGTCAGTGCCGTGCCCTCAAGTCAAGCAAGGTACCGAGTTAGATAAAGAATTATAGGGGGTGCAAGCCCGGATACTAACTATTTCCCTTGCATTTTAAAAGCATGATTTTTACCTTCGGGGAGGGATACTTCTTTCTTTGACTTTATAGAAAACATTTATACTTGATTGAAGATATACCAAAACTCTCGTCTATTTCGATGGTATGATAGTAACTAGAGCTCCGGAGAAAATGACCATAGAATTCTTTCTTAGCCTTAGACAAAGAGAACGGGAAACCAGGAACCAAGCAGGCCTCTTGGCAGGAAAACAAGCTAGATCACGTTCTCGAAATAAACCAAGTTTTTCATGTAGGATTTGGTTGGTGGTCCATTAAGGTCTTGACCCCCTAGGAACTACTCGGAAATAAGGTAAGTAAGTTAGAGAGCTCTGTCCCAATTGTTGAGGAATGGGGTCTTAAGACAGACAAGGCTTTAGTAACGAGTTTTACTAACCGAGGATGAAATTGCCACAGACCAGCATCAGCTAGCTCATGTCTTGGGCAGACTAGCTTTTACCAAGAAATAGTAAATAAAAGATTGCTTTGGTGGTAGGTGAAGTTGTAACAAAGTTCCCTTTTTCAATCAGTTCCAAGACCCCGAGGCTCGAGCCCTCAATCAGATTTTTGGGGGATCTTTGCCGTTGATCCTAGCAATGAAGAAAGATGATCTTCCTTTAGCCGGGCACACACCCAGTAAGATGTGAAGCTGTTCACTTCCCTGGTTAAGACATATTCCCAAGCTAGAGAGAATAACTTAGCTCTTTTTATTCTGCCTCGATATAACTTTTGAGTGACTACCCTAAGAAATCAGACTTATGCTCAGTTCTCCTCGGGATAAGCTGCTCTTGTTTCATAAGCAAATGTGGCAACTGGTGGTAACGTATAAAAGTACCCTATACTATGTGTGAGCCGTTAGAGTATAATCAAGTCCATGTCTTCTTAGTCAGTGTCTCAGTCACGGAAATAAAAAGTACAATGTCCCTGGTATACTACTAAAGCTCTAACTCTTATCTGTCTTCTAGACGAGTGAAGTGACCAATGGGGATTGGTCACGAACGCTATAAGCGAGGTTGCTTTCCGCCTTAGTACATCTCACATTGTGGTACCCTTTAGAGTTATAGTCAATGTATCACTGGTATAGGAGTTTATTATCCGTCTGAGATTGGGTTGGTGTGCAGTGTACTATTACTATAAGGTACAAGATCGAAAAAATACAGAGTGAATACATCTGTCGTTCTCTAGTTTATATGCTAGAGTTGTTTCATCCATTTCTATTTATACTCGGTGAGGCACCTTTTGAGGAAAATCCTACGAAATCCCATCGGTTCCAGCTTTGTTAGTTTCATGGAGGAAAGGGGATTGATGACTTTTATAAGTTATTTGAGCAATTCAACTAAAGTGAAGAAAAATAAAGGATCTTATTTTCATCCAAGCGCTCTGTACGCTGTGTGCTATTTTGACATCTCATTACTACCTATCAAGTTAAACTTGCCTATGGTATACCCACCTATAGAGTGGCGGAATGCCCGCAATGATGGTTAAAATGCTAGCCAGATGTCCGATCTTAGAGGGGGTTACTTAAGTTGTCCAACATTAGATATGTATGATCGTTATCGCCTGTTAAGTAGCGTAAACTTTAATCACTTCAATATTTTTCTTCCACCAAATGAGTATGATCTGTGTAATGTAATGAACAAGCTGCAGGGTC